TAATAAAAGCCATATCTAACAAACCCACAGCTGACATTACACTCAGTGGTGAAAAGCTTTTCCTCTAAGATGAGGAACAAGACAAGGATGCCCACTCTCACCAGTTTTATTCAACGTAGTATTGTAAGTTCTAGCCAGAGCAATTAAACAAAAAAGAAATAAAAGGCATCTAAATAGGGAAGGAAGAAGTAAAACTATCACTATTTGAAGATGAAATAGTACTGTATATGGAAAACCCTGAAGGTTTCATCAAAAAACTGTTAGAATAAATGAATTCAGTCAAGTTACAGGATACAAAAATATGTTATGTTTCTATACACTAATGATTTATCAGAAAGGGAAATTAACAAAACAATCCAACTTATAATTATATCAAAAAACCCCTCCAAAAACCTAGGAATAAATTTAACCAAGGAAGTGAAAGGCCTGTAGTTGAAAAATACAAGACATTAATGAAAGCAACTGAAGACACAAATATTGGGTTGTCGGAAAAGTCATGACGTATTTTTTCTATGTTTTTCATTGTGAAAATGCATCATGACTTTTCTGACAACCCAATAAATGGAAAGATATTTCATGCTCATGGATTGGAAGAATTAATATTGTTAAAATGTTCATACTACTCAAAGCAATATACAGATTCAATAAAATCCTTATCAAAATTCTAATGGCATTTTTCACAGAGAACAAAAAAATACTAAGATTTGTATGGAACCATAAAAGACTGCAAAAGCCAAAGCAATCTTGAGAAAGAAGAAAAAAGCTGGGGGTTATTATGCTCTGATTTCAAACTATATTACAAAGCTTCAGTAATCAAAACAGTACAGTACTGGCATAAAAACAGACACATAGATCAATAGAATAGATCTGAGGCTCACCTGCTACCTGATCATAACCCTTTCAGGCTTGGTACACATTCAGCTTTAGAACAATTTTCTACATAGTCTCTAAGCTGCTACTACCAATAAATCAGAACTGACATGAAAAATGAAACTACCTGCCATCCAGAACTGGGTCATGAAGGGTCTCATATCTCGAGATGGACTCCCAGCCAGGGGTACTCTAGGGGTATGAACTCAAACCACAGAAACCCGACCTGGAGCCTTCCTAACCCCACGTCAGTGGTTTATAACCTTGGCAGTGCATTAGGATCACTGAGAGCTTTCAAAAAGCCCAAAGCCCATGCCACACTCCAGACCAATCAAACCCAAATCTCTGGTCATCAGTTTGGGGCTCTCTCTCAGTGGCCGCACTCCACATCTACCTAATCAGAATGCCCAGTCAGGAGATACATTTGAAAAAAGCTCTCTGGATGGCTCTGATATAGAAAGTCCCAGGTGAGAATCACGGTCATAGCAGTAGTCAGGGAAACATTTGAAAGAAGGTGGTAACAGGGCCAGATTTGTGTCATAGATTTCTTGGAAAGCAGTGGGAAGACATATTAGAAAACAATCATAGGAAGGCTATGAAGAGCTCAGTCAAGAGATAAGGGACTGCACCATCCACAGAGTGAAAAGACAGCCCACAGAATGGGAGAAAATATCTGCAAATGACATAGCTGATAAAGGATTAACATCCAGAATATATAAAGAATTCATAAAACTCAACAGCAAAAATGGGCAAAGGACCTGAATAGACATTTCTCTGAAAACGCTATACAAATGGCCAATAAGAACATGAAAAGGTGTCCAACATCACTAGTCATTAGCGAAATGCAAATCAAAACCACAGTGAGATACCAACTCACACCCATTAGCATGGCTACTATAAAAACTTAAAAAACAAAACAAAACAGGAAACAAGTGTTGGCAAGGATGTGGAGAAACTGAAACCCTTTTGACCAGCTGGTGCAAATGTAAAATGGTGCAGCCACAGTGGAAAAGAGTTTGATGGTTCTGCAAAAAATTAAAAACAGAATTACTCTGAAATCCAACAATTGCACTTCTGGGTATATATCTAAAACAACTGAAAGTATGGACTTGAAGAGATATTTGCACACCCATGTTCACAGCAGCATTATTCACAACAGTCAAAACATGGAAGTAACCTATGCCCAAGAACAGATGAATGGACATGCAAAATATGCAGAGCACTGCTGAGATCACTTAGGGAGGTGGGTGAGAAGTGGGCAGAGGACAGAGCCCTGGGGATGATCAGCATTTAAGAAAGAGAAAGAAGTGAGGATGTCACAAAGGAAGAGAAGGAACAGAGCAGAAGTTGGAGAGCAATGACCTCAGAAGCCAAGGGAAGTCAGAGTTTCAAGGACAATAATGTCAAAGATAAAAGATAAAATAAAGACCCAAAGCATTCAATGCAATTATAGCAGTTATAAGGCCAATGGTGACTTCAGCAAGCGGACAATGGAGGGTGAAGGAGGGCTGAGGACTCTTTTAGGTGGGGAAGGACACTGCCATGTTTATAGGATGAGGAGAAAGAACCCGCAGAGAGGCAGGAGGGGAATTCAACTGATGAAGCCGGGAGGGAATCGAATCACAAGGAGCAGTAATGGTAAAGCCCCAGGCTGGTTTGGCTTTAGGAGGCAGCGGGCTCTAGTTCTGTGACCTGATACAGCACCCTCTCTTTTTACCATTTATTCTTTAAAGTGTAAAAAGTGGATAATAATACTACTTTTACCTAAGTGGTTGTTAGAGGACTAAATGTCAAGCACGTAGCCCTGTGCCTGCAACACAAGACATGTTTGCGTTTTAAAGAGCACAGATGGCAGGGTTAGTCTCATACAGGAGAAGCCTTCTTTGAGGGAGTCAGAAAGAAGGTGAAGACGGAAGCAGTGACGACAGATGAGAGCAACGGAAACAGGAATCTGAGGGTGTACACAACACATGTTCTCGATTCCATTAGCAAAGGAGGAGTTGTGATAACTGCCAAGTAAGGAAGAGAGCTGGGGTTGGGTTATTTTGAAAAATGACCCTAGAAGAGATGGAGAGATGAATAATAAACAGTAAAAGGATCACCAAATGATGCTCAAAGTTCTACTGAGAGGGGAAGCATGAATTTGGGGTGCTAGCATCCTCTGGGCGGTGGAGTCTCCCCCCTAGCAGTGCCTGGTGTAAAGGAGATGAAGGATGAATGACCCAAGGCCTGACTCTGGATCTGTAAAGCAAGCGGTCGAAAATGAAGTCATGTTGCTGAGGATACTGGACAGATGGTAATTCAATCTGCAATGGAGATCCAGGGTGTATGGACGAGGAAAGGGAAAGGGAGCTTGGTGGAGAGAGAGAGAGGAGGTAAAAAGGAGGAACTAACAGAGAAGAAAAATGAAAGAGTAAAAATATTTGAAATTTCTATGAAGTAAAGAGAACACAATTTCTAGAGCCAAGTGGCTGGGTTCTCATTTCAGCTTGGCCATTGACTTGCTATAGGGCCTCAGGCAAGTTTCTTAACCTCGCTGTGCCTCAGTTTCCTCATTTGTAAAATGGGGCTAACATCTACCTCAAGGGGTGTTTGAAAAGATTAAATCATCTTATTTATGTAAAGAATGTAAGAGTGTCTGAAACATAGTAAGTGCTCCCTCAAGTCTTAGCTGTTATTGTCTCTGCACTCAGGAAAAGTAAAAACCAAATATAGAAAAATATTACTTTAGAGACCTAGATACAAAAGAAAGGGTTACCTGTTTTTGTGTTGGACCTTGTTTTGAAAAATAACCAAAGGAGAAGAGCCATGGGAACTACAGGGGAAAAAACCAAAACAAACCCTCAGTGATATTTTTTAAAACTCGTGGAAAATACTTCTAAAGATCTAATTTCATTAAAATAGTACTTACTTTTATGAGAAGCTGCCTTCCAATGCCAAACCTCACAAAGAATAAAAAGAAAAGTCCTGCAAACATCAGCTTAATGACAGAGGTGATGCCTCCCACGGCTACATAAGCAGCATACTGAACCTAGATGAGAAATACAGTCAGAATTTAGTCCCTGCTCTTCTAGGCCAAGTAGCACAAGAATGTTAGCTACTTGTAACTTATCCTGCAGTCATGAGCATCGAACAAAAGCAGTTTCGGCTTTATGAGTATGTCCAGAAAGCTTCTTCAGAAACCATATATTGGGAGCATATTTTTAAAAGAAATTGTTGCAAATGGTAATCAGCTTCCCCTGCTTGAACACTAAAGTCCACATAATCCTACCTGGATAAAAAGTCCGATAATATACCTGAATGCAGGAATTATACATTACAGAATGTAGACTCCACTTACAACCTTTTCTAGGAGAAAATACTCTCGTATCTTTTAACTTGAGATAGTTTCCTTTTCAAATCTCAGCAGAGGGAGTAATTGTGTACTTCCCTCAGGATGATAGTCCAGAGGTAGCAAAGAGAGAAGGGAGAACCCAGACATCTCCACAAGCAACAGAAAGAGTATCCTAGCAGCTGGAGCTCTAAATGAGGAATGTTGAGTGTTTATGAACCAGGATTTTCTGTATTTAACTTGCTGCTGTTGAGTTACATTAAAAAAGGTATTCATCAGGCCAGATTTGAATTATGGGGGGAGGTTATCACCACCGCCATAAAGTGCAAAATGCTCTGCACTACTGCTGATTCTGTATACTTTCCAAAACTGAAACATGCATTATTTAGCTACTTTTTTTTTTTTGCTTTACAAACATAAAAATCCTACATTAAAGTCTAACAAACAGAATGCTCTTTATTAAAAAATAATACACTTACAGGTGATTGCTCTAAATTTTCATACAAATAACGCTGAGTCCGCTTCACAACAGACACATCTGATCCCATGAAAGGAATGGAGTAGCTGCTGAGCTCTCTGCAGTAAGAAACTGGCCACCTGCAAGACAGACCCAGGTTGCCATCTCTCCCTCCACTTACAGTGGCCACTTTCTTTAACTGGTCAATTTCTGAAGAAAAATTCTTACTTAAGTTGAGGCAGTAATAACAATGAAGATGGCAGATCTATTCTGAACTAAAATGTATGTCAGTACTTATCTTTTGTTCTCTACACCTACACCTAAACAAGTGATGAATGAACATAGTATTCTTCACACCGTGGGCACTTACTACATGTAGTTTAACTATGTTTTACCCCATCAATTTCACTGGACAATCATTAAAAGAACACTCCTTCAAACAGTCAAACTCTGAGGTTAGAGTTCTCACATATAAAGGCTATTAACATATTGACTGATTATTAATCTACATAAGATCATTACACTTTAAGATGGTGGTTTTACTAAATAAAGCTTAATTGATGTTTAATTTTGATACTGATAATGAAGTCATAAAATTCACTTTTTTCAGGATCTAAATGTATTATTACCTATGAGGTACTAAGCTTGGGGTAACATAAGTTATATTTTATTTACCCTTGAAAACAATCCTGAACTTACTACAAAATTGTCTCCAGGACTTCTCAGTAGCGTGCTTTATTAATAGATCAGTAGCAACATATGTAGACTAGATATGCTAAAGAATAGATTTTGAGTCAATATACCTTCTTTTCAATTTTGGACCAACAATTGGAACACGTTTCAAATTTGACTCCTTTCGTAGTTTTTTCAAACTACTGAGCTCTCCAAAACCATAAACTGCTGACTTCCAGGTACCATCATGAAAGCACATCCCCTAATAAAATAATTCAAGAGTTAAAGAAACATATGTTAAGGGATAACTACTAAAATGTAAAACCAAGTAAGTTAAAATTGATACAAAGATCATTTTACCTCTATTTAAGCAAGGCATAATCCTTTATTTAATAATTTTGTTTATTAAATTTATTGGGGCAACACTGGTTGATAAAATTACATATGTTTCAAGTGTACATTTCTATAATACATCATCTATATGTCACATTGTGCATTCGCCACTCAGAGTCAGTTCTCCTTCCATCACCCTATATTTGATCCTTTTTACCCTCTTCTACCATACTCCTAACCCCCTTACCCTCTGGTAACCACTAAACTGTTGTCGGTGCCTATGAATTTTTGTTTCTGTGTTTCTTTGTCTTGTTCCTTTGTTGCTTTCAGTTTTGTATCCCACATATCAGTGAAGTCATATGGTTCTTGACTTTTTCGGTCTGGCTTATTTTGCTCAGCATAATCATTTCAGTATCCATCTATGCTGTTGCAAATGGCAGTATTTCATCTTTTCTTATGGCCCAGTAGTACTCCACTGTGCCCTTATTTAAAAATCTTGAGATGAATTTTCACGAACAGCCAGGCAGCAGTAACATTCATTAGTTTGGTCATATTCAACCTTTACACCAACATATGTCCACGTCATCTTCCCTCCCACCATTAGTTTTGCTCTTTTTGATAAGCCACTGAATTTCACTTCATCATTTTCACTCACCGAATTGACATTCCTTCAAAATCAGCCTCTCTAATCCCCATCCTTATGTTGATGCCTCAAAACATCCAGGTATGTTCACAAGCACATGCATGAATAATATACAACGAGCTGTGCATGCATTCCTTCCCTGTATTCAGTGCCCACCTGTCCTCATCATCGCTTATTCTAGCCCCAAGTTATATAAATGTCTTCCCCAGAAGTATGTTAATATTTTTTTTAAGTTTCATTAATAAGATTTATATTTTAATTTTTCCCTCCAATTCCTCAACCTTTTTCTAGTACTGTACACAGTACAGAATCCTTGTTTGGTCTCACCCAGACTCTCATTAGTCCACTTACTTTTTATCTCTTTCATGAGACTCTTAGCTCTCATGCCTTCCATTTTCCAATATAATTACACCTTCCACATGCTTACCTCTGACTCCCATTAGAAATGAGTGGCAGAAAGGAGAGCACAGGTGAGGGTGCAATTCTAGAACTTCCTATCTTAGTGCTGACCCTTCTTTAGTTGACTACTAGGTGGGCCTTTTACTTCTCTATTATGTAAATATTTTAAATTCATTAATAATTTTGATTGTACATAAGTGTATTATGCCCTGCCTTATATGTTGTTTACCCTGTTTGAATGGACACATTTAGAAAGATTCAAAACCAAGCTTCTCAGAAGACTTTATCATAAGGCAGAGAATATTGTAGATTGATAGGCAGAATAAGAGAAACAATAAAATCATCGGAAGATTCAGGTTTTTATATCAGAGCTTCGATGACACTGAACAGCAAAGAGAGACACCAAACTTAATTTCCATTTTGGTACAGATTAATCTCTTCTGTTTTGTTAAAACTGAAACAGAGTTAAAAGTCCTTCCCATTTTCTTAGTGGTGACTTTCTGCCATATTCCGTGCAGCACAGGCAGTGACGAGTGAGAGGGGACAGCGCAGGTCAAAGAAAATAAATGAGACAAAGAGACAAAGATAGATTTAAGACACGAGGCCAGGGGGCTGCAGTTCTCTCTCTGGAACTGAGCATCTAATCAGACCAACGTGGGGCTTTTATTAAGAAACTTCAAATGAGTAAAGAAACTTTCTTTCTAAAGTCTGTGTGATAAGTGCCTTAAGGCCAGTTTCCATCAACCAGCCCCATTGTACTCCAACACACGCTGTGCCTGCGTACTCCTACACACACAACCCCCAGGATAGTGCAGCTGCAGCTGCGGCCATGAACTAAGGGAAATAACCAACATTCTGCCAGGTCCTAGTTTTCCAGGACACTCCCTTGAGGAAGCTTGATCGATATCATGCCACCACCGGGTCTCAGTTTTCTGAGACACTCCCTCGTGACCTTGTTAGGTCAGGGGCTGGTGTGGGGGGGCGGTCGAGGTTGAGGTTGTAAGGCAACATCTTTCAATAAACAGACATTCTTGATATTAAATGTACACAAATGTATCACTCTTTCTTTATATTTAATGCCTCTGTGTCTCTTTTAAGAAGCCATTCCCTGTACAGTATGGTGACAGTAGTTAATACTGTACTGCATATCTGAAAGTTGCTCAGAGAGAAGATCTTAAAAGGTTTCATCACAAGAAAAAAACTGTAACTATGTATGGTGGCCGATATTAACTATACTTATTATGGGGATCATTTTGCAATATATACGTTGTGTTATACACCTGAAACTAATATATCAATTATACCTTAATAAAAATAAATAAATTTCTGGGGAAAAAAAGAAGTCATTCCTGACTTGAAGCCATAAAATATGTCACCTTCTAAAAGGTTTATTGTCTTGCCTTTGGCATTTAATCCACTTAAACTTGGTTTTTATACACAGTGCAAAGTATGAGTTTAATTTCACTTTTTTCCATATAGATATCCAATTGTCCCAGCATCATCTCCTGAAAAGCCCCTTTACCATAAATCAAGTGTTCATATATGTACAAACTACTCTGAGCTTTTTATTCTGTTCCACTAGCCTACTGATATCCCTCTGGCAATGTAATACACTGACTGAATAACAAATCTTGATATCCAAGAGCTTCTTTCTACCTCCTTCTCCTTCAAGAATGGCTTGGCTATTCTTGGCCCTCTGCATCTCCATATATGTTTTAGAATTAACTTGTCAAGTTGCACACCAAAACAAAGCCAATAAACAAACAAAAACCTGTTTGAGATTTTGATTGGAATTATATGGGATTATAAATCAATTTGATGAAAACTGACATCTGAACAAAATTAAGTCTTCCAATCCATGAATGTGGTGAATTCTTCCATTTCTTTGATTTCTTTAAGGTCTCTCAATAATGTTTTATAGTTTTCTTCATAGAAATCTTGCATATTTTCTATTACTTATTCTTAGGTGCTTATTTTTTTTTTTTTAAGATTTTACTGGGGAATTGGGGGAGGGGAAGAGCATTGGGGAATCGGGGAAGGGGGACAGACAACTTGCTGTCCTTTTGTTCTTCAGTCTAGTTGTGGTGGACATCGCTTCACTGGCCCATGTTTATCACTGCGCTCTTCCCGGGTGAGGCAGATCGGTCGCTGGACTCTGGATGGCCGCTCACGGTGGCTCTTGGCAGCTCAGACCTGCTGCCAGCCGCTCATGCTGGCAGCTGGCCACACACAGTAGCTTATGGCAGCCCACTGCAGCCGGGGCTACAGCCTATGCCGTCGCGGGCGACTCACGGCAGCCCAACTCCAGGTCGAGCTGTTGTTCACCATCTTAGCTGGAGGGCAGTGTCATTGGCCCTCATGTGGGATCCAAACAGGGGCCCTGCTGCTCAGAGCTGGCATCCCAAGCCAACTCTTAACCAACGTGCCACTCAGCTGGCCCTAGGTGCTTAATTTTTAAATGCCATTCTAAATGGTGTTTTTAAAAAATTCATTTTCTAACTGTAGCTAGTATACAGAAATGTAAATAATTTTTATATTAATTGTATTCAGCAAGAATGAAGACTAGAGTGGAAATAAATAAAACAGAGAACAGAAAAATTGAGAAAACCCACAAAATCAAAAATTGGTTCTTTGAAGAAATCAACCAAATTGACAAACTAGACTAGAGAGAGAGAGAGAGAAAGAGAGCGAGAGAGAATTCAAATTACTAAAATCAGGAATGGAAGAAGGGACATACTATGAACAAATGTATGCCAACAAATTAGATAACCTGGATGAAATGGACAAATTCCCAGAAAAACACAGTTATGGACTGGATTGTGTCACCCATAACTTATATGTTGAAAGCCTAATCCTCAATACCTCAGAATGTGATCTTTGGAAATTGGGTTGTGGGTTTTTTTTGGTCGGTCCTGCACCAATTCCCTACAATAATTCCCTGCAATCTCCGACCCCATCTTCAGCTCATAAAACTCTCTTTCCTATAGAGAACCTGTGCCCTGTTGTTTAGGTGGGCCTGACCCTATGATCCCCCCTCCAGAGGCCCATGATGCACACCTGGGCAATCTGATTACTGACTTACTCTGGGTCACACTGATTAGCTCAAAAATGGCCAAAGGACCCAATACTTGACTAATATCTCCCCTATAATTTGATCTATAAACTGGTAGCTGTTCCCGGAACTTTAAGGACAACGTACACCTGGGGCTGCCAGCACCTTCCCTGCCATACTGAGAGCCTACACAGAGGAACACGGAAAAAGGAAAGAGACAGAAAAGGCGAAGAGAAGAAAAAGAGCTCTGATACCATCTGACCTCTAGGTCCAGCCATACTATTCACTTGCAGACATTTGGGTATATGAATCAATACATTCCTTTCTGTTTTGCTGGGTTTCTAACACACGCTACCCAGAGTTCCAAGCACGCCTTTCATTCTTGTTTCGGAGCCTTTGTTCAGGTTGCTGTCTCTGACCTTCCAAAGGCTAAACTTAGAAAGGCCTCATGAGGCATTCTCAGGTCCCTCAGGTCACTACCACTTCCCTTTATTCATACTCTAGTGGGTACTCTGGAACCACACATTTCAGCATGTTTTATACAGCTCTTTGTGTTTATTAATCTGAATCCACATTCTAGATAAACAGAACCATTCCTCTGACTTAAACATGCTCCATACCAATCCACAGTTACATCTTTATCACACTGTTTCCTCTCCCTGAGCCCCATCTCCACAGCACCAACCTTTAAAATTCAGCCCGTTAAAACCCCAGCTCTCTAGAATGTTCCTGACCCCTTGCCTCCCAGCTCCAGGTGCTCTCCAGTCTCAGGACCCTACAGGGTTTGATCTGACCACTTTAATAACAAACGCTTTCTACCTCCTGTCACCCTAAATTATTATCCCTTCAAGGGCAGGGTTTACATCTTATCCATTTATGTTGCACAACTATATATACTTGCACTGCTATAAAATATTTGTTAAATGAATATTTTTCTTATTTATTTTTTTCAGTTACAGTTGACATTCAATATTATTTTACATGAGTTTCAGATGTACAGCATAGTGGTTAAAACATTTATATAATTTATGCAGTGATCCCTCCAATTAGTCTAGTACACCCCTGACACTTAAATGAACATTTTTTTAAAAAAGATTTTTATTGGGGAATTGGGGGGATGGGAACAGTGCTGGGGAATTGGGGGAAGGGGAAAAGGCAAGTTGCTGTCCTTTTGTTCTTCAGTCTAGCTGTGGAGGATGTTGCTTCACTGGCCCAAGTTGGCACCATCATTGCGCTCTTCCTGGGCGAGGCAGATCAGTCGCTGGCTTCTGGACGGCCGCTCACTGCGGCTGCTGGCCGCTCACGCTGGCTGCTGGCTACACACAGTAACCCATGGCAACCCACTGCCACAGGGGCTGCAGCCTACGCTGTGGCCGACGACTCACGGCAGCCCAGCTCCAGGTTGAGCTGTTGTTCAGCATCTTAGCTGTGGAGGGCAGTGTCACTGGCCCTCATATGTGGGATCCGAACCGGGGTCCTCTGGCGTCCCAAGCCAGTTCTTAACCATCGCACCACTTGGCCGGCCCAAATGAACATTTTTTTAAGAGAACAAATACTTATGAAGCCTCAACTATAAACAGAATTGCATTAGACCATTAGACACTACTGCTGGCAATAAAAGTACTATCATCAACATGGTCCTTTCCCAGAAATGCAAATAGCTTATGTTCTCAAATAGAATATAAAAAACTAAGAGTATACTTACATCATACATTTCCTCTATAGCCAGCCAAGACAGCACCTACCTCCAAGTCAGGCACATAATAAAAATGTACTGGCTTCGGGCCGGCCGAGTGGCGCGATGGTTAAGAACTGGCTTGGGACGCCAGAGGGCCCCGGTTCGGATCCCACATATGAGGGCCAGTGACACCGCCCTCCACAGCTAAGATGCTGAACAATAGCTCAACCTGGAGTTGGGCTGCCGTGAGTTGCCGGCGACGGCGTAGGCTGCAGCCCCTGTGGCAGTGGGTTGCCATGGGCTACCATATGTAGCTAGCAGCCAGCGTGAGCGGCCATCCGCCACAGTGAGCGGCCATCCAGAAGCCGGCGACTGATGTGCCTCACCCAGGAAGAGCGCAATGATGGTGCCAGCTTGGGCCAGTGAAGCAACGTCCTCCACAACTAGACTGAAGAACAAAAGGACAGCAACTTGTCTGTTCCCCTTCCTGATTCCCCAGCACTGTTCCCATCCCCCCAATTCCCCCCCCAAAAAAAAAAAATCTCTAAAAAAAAAAATGCACTGGCTTCGCACTAAGGTGATAACTGTCTTGGCTGACAACATTTATTACATAACAATGATAAAAACTTTAGTGTTAGGATCGTGGTGATTCATTCTAATACAATGAACTGTGCACCTGTTTTAAAATAAATTCTATTCTTAAGTCAAAAATAATTCTGGGCAATCTAGTATCTTTACTTTTTAAAATTAAACTGACTTTCGTACACTAAAAATTACACCTATGTAAATTTTAATTAATCTAAATCTTTCTTAAGAGGCATGTATAATTTCTAAGTGTTTTTGATATTAACTTAGAAAACATTTGACAAACAGAAAAACTAACCTCAGGTCCTGAATGTAGAGTTAGGTAACTTTCCACAGCAGTCAAAGTACCTAAAAGAGTAGGAAAATGGTAAAAGTAAAATCAAATAAAATCTATTCATCCAGAACAAGTAATAATACACTATTCTTATCAATTTAGGGACTGTTTTTACTAAGCCTACAGCTGATATAGTCAGAAGATCTATACTGATAACAGTTTTGTTATATTATTGTAAACAGATTTAAGGAGAGGCGATTTCTGACAGGCAAATTGTCAGAAAGAGGAGTTGAGCATAAACTCCGCTAGTACTGACAAACCCTTTTCTAGTATTCAAACTGACAATGCTAAAAATCTCTTCCAGTAAGACAACAATTTAGCTCACTCATTCTGGAAGGCCAGCAGAACACAGTTCTCAAAATTAGTTCTATGGGAATTATTCTGTTTTCCAATACGACAGCTTTCAAGAAGACTTATTAATAGTGACTTACAACAAATAGGTACAGAAAACCTATCAAAATGGCCTTTGTGATGGCTTATAAAATACTTAAAATAAGGCTGTTAAATTGAAATAAAAATATAGTAAGTATAAAATTAAAAAAAAAATCAAAGCCAGAAAAAAGGGGAGAAATCAATTATATTAATCGTAAGGACTAATAGGCTTAGCGGTTAAGTTTTAATTAATCTTTGAGTTTTTCTGGAGCAGTAAAACAAAAGAAAAACATAATAGGCTGGCTAATTCTCAAATTCTGATTAATGAAATATATCACTTTCATAAGAGACAGTGTTTCTATTGGGTTGTCAGAAAAGTCATGATATAGTTTTTCAGTTTTTCGTTGCAAAAATGCGTCATGACTTTTCCGACAACCCAATAGTTTTCATTCCGAAAGAAAATTAAAACACGGATGCTCAGAAAGTTGACACTGAGCAAAACAATGAGTAACCATGTCACCAACAATGAAGCTACAGCATAAGAAAACCATAGTCACACAAATGTTGCTAGTCTGACCTCTGACAAAAAACACGAATAGATCATTAAAGTATACTTCACTGGAGATAATTCTCCAGTGAAGAGGAGAGGGTTGTTAAGAGAATGTGGCCTGGATACGTGGCTCTGTGATCTAACCCTCTCCACAGAAAGAACATGGACTACTAAAACAGTAGATAGTAAAATGTGGGCCACTTGCATCAAAAATCAGCTAGGATAATTGTTAAATGCTCACTCCTAAATTTCAGTATCTGAAGAAGAAAATTCTTAAACAAATTTTAAATATTCCCCTCCCCACGCCTTACCCCCGCAAAAAAAGACATTCAAAACGAAAACTATTAAATAACTGGGGGTGCCAAAAAAATGTACACACATGACTTGTATTCATCTTTTGTTATAGGTATATATTGAGTATTACAATTTTAATAGTTTTTTTCCTTTCTTAAAATGTATATATGTACATTTTTTGGCACCCTCTGTAGTTTGGAATAATCTCAATAAGAAATCTGTAGGACTATCATGAAGAAAACTTCCTAAACTTTACAGGCTTAAAAGAATTTTTAAAAAATAAATGCGGACATACCAGACATATGGACTAAAAGACTAAATATTTTAAAGATGTTCAATTCGCATTTTTCTTTTTATTGGGAATAGTTTCAGTTTCATCATTAAGTATGATGTTGGCTATTGCTTTCTGTCATTTATTATGTTTAGAAAGTATTCTATTCCTCAATTTCTAAAAATCTGAAATCAGTAAATGACATGGATTTTCAAATCATTTACTGAGATGGGCAAATAGTTTTTTTGCCTTTGATATTCTGATGTGATGATGTAACTTCCTAATAAACCATAACTAAATTGAGACAATAAATAATTCTTTACTTTAGAACACTTACTGTACTATCTATATCTCAAAAAAGTGTCAGTAGCATTTTATAACAAGTGTAAGCTATATTAAAAGCAAAGCACATGTTTTAACATTACCTTTACAGTTATGTTTCTTTTTCCAGCCATATTTTAATTCATTACAATTACAAACATGAAGGCCTTCTGCTGCTAAAATCAATTATTGCTTATTGACGACCAACAGTTACCTTTCATTTTATTTCTGGTATATAATACTCCCAGATCTGCTGGAATGGAGTCAAAGCCACTACTTCCAATGATATAAACCCCTTTTTCTGCAGCTTTCTCATGATACTTCCAATACATTAGTTCCAGAAACTACAAAATTCAGGAAAAAGATCTGAATCAGAGCTATGTAGAAATATTGAGACCGATATTAAACGATTTATCTTTAAAGACAAAGTTATTAAACTTTGAAAATGCTAATCAATATGGCTCTGCAACAAAATACTAACTGTCAAAATGTTTTTCATTTATTCAGCAAACATTTACCACATGTGCCAGGTAGTGCAGGAGATGTGCTGATTGGACTTAATGATATTATTAATTTTTTAGAATGACTTTTAAAGGAAAAAGTATTACCATTATTTAAAAAAATACCTATTAATATAGAAAAATACAAAGAAAGCAAAAAAAGTTACCCCAAATCCCACTAACACAGGTGAACATCATTAGACACATATCTATGCATTTATAGAAACACAAAAATATAGTAGTAGGAAAGGAGGGGATATGAGAGGGGGAATAATGTCTATTCAAATCTTTGTCTGTTTTTAAAAGTTACTTAATTCTTTTCGAATAGTTTTAGATTCACAGGAAAACTGAATAGTCGAGTTACCAAGTACACCCCACCCAGTTTCCCCTATTATTACATTTTTTACATTAATACTTGTTATAATAAAATAATATTGACACATTATCATTAACTGAAGTCCATACTTTACTCAGGTTTCCTTACATTTTACCTAATGTCCTTTTTCTGTTCCAGGACCCCATTCAGGATAGCATATTACATTTAGTTCTCATGTCTCTGCAGGCTCCTTTTAACTGTGACAGTATCTCAGACTGTCTTTATTTTTGATGACCTTTACAGTTTTGAGGAGTACTGGTCAGGTATTTTGTAGAAGGCCCCTCTATTGGAATTTACCTCCTGTTTTTCTTATGACAAGACAGGGTATAGGTTTGGGGGGGTGGGAAGACCACAGGGCTATAAAGTGCTGATTCATGACATCCTATCAAGAGTAAATGCTGTGGGCCGGCTGAATGGCGTGTTGGTTTAGAGCTGGCTTGGGATGCCAGCTCTGAGCAGCAGGGCCCTGGTTCAGATCTCACATGAGGGCCAGTGATGCTGCGCCCTCTACAGCTAAGATGGTGAACAACAGCTCGACCTGGAGCTGGGCTGCCATGAGTCGCCAGTGACGGCATAGGCTGCAGCCCCTGCTGCAGTGGGTTGCCATGGGCTACCGTGTGTGGCTGGCAGCCAGAGGCCAACGACTGATCTGCCTCACCCAGGAAGAACGCAATGATAATATCAACATGGTCCAGTGAAGCAATATCCTCCCCAACTAGACTGAAGAACAAAAGGACAGCAACTTGTCTGTTCCCCTTCCTGATTCCCCAGCACTGTTCCCATCCCCCAATTCCCCAATAAAATCTTAAAAAAAAAAAAGAGTACATGCTGTCAACATGATCTATCACTGTTGATGTTGACCCTGAATACCTGGCTGAGGAAGTGTTTGTCAAGTTTCTCCATTGAAAACTTATTCTCTTCCCGCTCCTTTCTACACTGGACTCTTTGGAAGGAAGTGACTATGTGCGGCCCACACATAGGAGTCGGGAGTTACGCTCCCCATCCGTGAGGGGAGAGTAGCTACATACATTATTGGAATTCTTCTTCACAGGAGATTTGTCTCTTCTCATTCTTTTTCCCATTTTTTTTTTTAAGATTTTATTGGGGAATTGGGGGAGGGGAACAGCGTTGGGGAATCGGGGAAGAGGAACAGACGAGTTGCTGTTCTTTTGTTCTTCAGTCTAGTCGTGGAGGACGTCGCCTGACTGGCCCATGTTGGTATTATTATTGCGCTCTTCCCGGGGGAGTCAGTTGCTCACCGGGCCTTGGACAGCTGCTCATGGCGGCTCACGGCAGCTCACGCCAGCTGCTGGCTGCTCACACTGGCTGCTGGCCGCTCATGGTAGCTTATGGCAGCCCACTACAGCCCCACTGCAGCCTACGTCACCGGCGGCTCATGGCAGCCCAGCTCCAGCTCGAGCTGTTGTTCACCATCTTAGCTGTAGAGGGCACAGCATCACTGGCCCTCATGTGGGATCCGAACCAGTGGCCCTGCTGCCTAGAGCTTGCACTCCCAAGCCAATTCTTAACCAACGAGCCACTCGGCCGGCCTCTGCTGCCCATTTTGAAATTGGGTTATTTGAATTTGTATTATTGACTTATACGAGTTCTTTATATATTCTGGATCTTCATTAGGTTTTGATATCACTTTTATGATAGTTTATAAGATAATTTAGAAGTTTTTCACCATTTTCTCTGCTCCAAAATATTTTAAATAAGATAGGAATTGGTTTTGTTTCATTCATGTTTCCTACCTCTTGAATTAATTTTGGTAATTTACACTTTCTAGTATTTTCCAATATACATTACCACTAATAAACTCTAAGTACATATTATACTGGCACACTGATGATGGTAAGCAGCGGAGGCCATGGGGACATATGAGATTACAGTTTTAAAGGAGTTAGTGTAGCTTAGTGCTATTAACACACCACTTCCCGCAGTCAGGCAAACCTCAACTCAAGTCCTAGTTTTTCTACTTACTACAATAGTTGCATGACTGAATGAGTTACTTAACTTTCCTAAGTGTCACTTTCCTCATGTATAAAATAGGGTGAAAACATACCTATTTTACAGGAATGTTGAAAAAGTTACACAAAATATTGATGTGGCACACTGTCAAGCATGCGGTAAGCAGTCAATATATGTGAACATTTAAGATTTTTAGGTTGAAGGGATTTTACATTTATTTTTCTGTAATGTAAAGGTGTCTGATCTTAAAAGGGGAATTCATAATGAAGTTACAATAAGATTCTGAGATTGCTCAAGCACACTATTTTAATTCATTCCGTTTACAGCATGCAGTAGCTGTAAAAATCAGCATATCCAATATACAAAGGACTTGAAGAAAAAAATTCAAGAAAACTGAACCTAAGACCTTACCATTGCACTCTCCTTCAAGCTATCAATGGAATACCATCTGTCAACATGAGGAAGGAGTCATCACCTTCTAAAAATATGTCTGCAAAACTGCACTAAGTATTTTCTGCTTCAACAGAAAATTGTGCTGTTAATTTTCTGTTCTTTCCTTTTCATTTTACATACCTGAGGTTCTCCAGAGACATCAATACAGCTAGTGCCATTTTCAACACACGCTTTTACTACAGGTTCTCCATAAAATCGATACTGGGGAATAAAAAAACAACAACAGTTTACCCTTACTTAGCAAGCTTATACGAATGAAATACCATTCATTTTTGGAAGTACAGTTTTGATTGTTAAGAAATCAAATATTAATAAAGTAGCCTAAAAATAAATTGAGAAAATAATGTAACTGTAATATACCAACTCTCAAGGATGGAATTACAGACAAATGTGTGCTTAACTCTAACTGAAGACAAAATGGGAAGTTTTATAGAAGTGATTCATTTGACTTGAATTCTGAAGAAGAGTAAGGATTTGGCAGAAAAAAAAAAAGGCCAGATGAGGGACAAAATGTATGGAAAGGTGCAGGAAGCACTCATTTACCTGAACCACAGAGTGGTAGGAGGTAAGTCTAAAAAGAAACACTTGGGCTGATCAGGGAGGACCCTGAGCACCATACTGTCAACACCAAACTTGATCTTTTTGGGATTACTCGGCTCTCTTGGAGGATTTTAAAGGAGACAACGGTGTAAGACTTATAGTACAGACATATCACTCTGTCTGTGGTGCTGGAAGACAAATCTCGTGGCAGGTAAGAAATGATGGACAAAACTAAGAAAGGGAACGGATATACTAATGAGATATACTAAAAAGGCAGAAATGACTGGACTTCCTGATTAGCTGGACATGGGGGCCAACAGCTAATGGTACTATCAGCCAAAATAAAAACAGGCAGAAAAGGTTTAGAGGCAATAAGTTTAAAATTAGACAGAGTAGATATTCTGAGCCTATATGATTTTGGATCTCCAAAATCATTTGTTGCTCAAACTCAAGGGATTAAAATTAATAATTTTAATACATTAGGATCAGTCCCTTTCAAAGGAAGCATGACAAATTTTTCCTTTTGTGAGGGTAGGGCGAGGGGAGCACAAACTCTTCTGCTTGTCGCATTTCTAGCAACAGGAAAATGGAGGACAGAGCTTGTCTTTTTCTTTCAGCCTTCAAGAAACAGGTAAAGCGACACTTAAAAGACAGCACAATGCAAGAATTCACTTTTCAAGTAGGTCAAACAGGCTGTCCTCTTGGCCTAACTCCATAGCCTCATCTCCACAGCCTACTCCCTTCTTAATAGCAAATGAAACTGGAATTACAGGACTGGGAAACAGAGTTCCAGTCCCTCCTCTGCCATTAACCAACCACATAAAATTGCTGAAGCACTTAACTTCTGAGACAACACTGTATAATCAAACAAACAAGGGCTTTCAAGGCAGCAAGATCCAACATCACACCCTAAATCCATCACCTACTCGCTATGTGAATTTACTCACAAATCACTTTCATGGATTATTATTATACTACACTAATATATGTTTTAAACATACATAAAATAGGAATAAGGTTGAGATGAAAATGAATTGAAGTCAAAGCTCTATTTTCTTTCTGCACCCCGTGGATTGTCTTGGGTAATTTTCAAAGTTTACACATATCCACTTTGAAATTCATTGAGAGATTTCCTTGGCCTTTCTCTTGGTTGTTTTACCTCATCGTTGCTCACATTGGCCAGTAGTCTACCTGCATTAGAATCACCTGGGCCACTTGTTAAACACGCTGCTTACTCAGTCCCACCCCAGACAGCCTCCCGAATCAGGTTTTCTGGGGTGGACTCCAGGAACCTGCATTTTAGATCAGCCTCCCAGTAGGGGTGGAGAATCACCTCCCTAGACATTCTCCCTGGAAAAATCTCATCTACTCTCCCAACTTGACCTACAACCTGTATGCTGATGACTTCCAGCCTCTGTCTCCAGAGCTGCTTACTGATAAGATTTCCTTACCTGTGGTTCCTGTTATAAAGTTCAGGACCAGCAAAGCACAGGACATGGGGCATGATTTATGCATAAAATGAATTTCACTTTGGCTTCATTTTTCCTCCTCTATTTGCTCTTCACCCTGATTTCTTCCCATACTTAAACAAATAATAATTCCACTACAGTATATGTCTTAATTCAAGAATATCTAGCAGACACCTCGGTTTCAACATGTCCAAAATCGAATTCATCTTCCTCTCAAAACCAGTTTTTCAGCCTCTACTTTCTAGCACAAGAGACAGTAAAGCATAGGTCTCACTGCTGGCATCTTTTCTGATTTACTGTGAGGCAAGACTCCGGGACAAAACTGTGGAAATGGTGGAACTACACGGCTGTCCAGACCATGGGCTTCAAAGTTAGGCCTGATTTAAATCCAGGCTCTGCATTCACTAGCTGTGTGACCTTGGGCAAGTTACGTTACCTCTCTTAAGCTTCAATTTCTTCACTGAAAAATGAAAAATAATAGCACATACTTCAATGGATTGTAGTGAGGACAAAATAAGGCCATACAAAGAGCTTAGCATAGTGCAGGGCACACAGCACTCAGTAAACGATAGATTTATTCTCTTCTGTTATTATTAATGGTATTACTCTCCACACAATTCTCAGGTGAGAAACCTGGAAGCTGTGTTTGACACTACCTACCCTGGAAGTCACCAAGCTTTATCAAATCAGTTCTCTAAAAATATCTCCCATCAGTCCCCTCCCCTTCACACATCCAAATCTTAGTTCACACCCTTGTCACCTCTCATTTAATTTACTATGAAGAGCAACAGGCTTCACTGCAGCCCATCTAGCCCCATCTCCAAAGAAATACCAAACTGTTATTCTAAAAACAAAATCTGATGTCACCTTTGGTCCTGTATCATATATGCGCATATATGTTGCATACACTTTTAAAATCCTTCACTAGCTCTCAGTGCCCATATCATGTAGTAGTTTAAAATCCACGCTTCTTAGTATGTCACAAAAAGCCCTTAAGCACCATGTCACACCACAGTCGGTTAATCCCCATGTTCCAGCAGTCCTGTAATTTCTGTAAGGACGTGATGCTTCTTCACACCCATGCGTTGTTGTTTCTGCTATCTGTGACACCCTCCCCTCATTTGTGTAACTCCCAACTCCTCCAGTCTCAGATTCCTAGCCTCATGTTCATTTCTCACGCCTACAACCTTTCAGCTTTTTGGTTTATCTACAAGTATTGGCAAGCTGCAGGAAAGCAATACTGAGCTTTTTGAAATAACAGTTCCTTCTAGAAACAGTACACATTTTCCTATCTGCCGTCGTCCCCCCATTCCTTACACTGTATTCTTTTTTTTTTTTTTAGCTGAGCCATCCTGCCACCTGTTGGCAGCTCAGTGGCTGCTCAGCTCGGGCCGGGACTTGAACCACTGTTGCTCAGAGCTCACACTCTTGAGCGAGCTCTTAACCACTCGGCCGGCCCTCTTACACTGCATTCTGTCAGGCCTGGCTCAGCTCTCCTTTGGGTAATCTCAGGTTGAGACTTCTGTACTAACTTCCCCAAATTATTGTGTTTTTAGATGTTTTTCTACTTAATACCTTTGTGATTTTATGGGATAAGTGGACAGGGTCAGAGCAGCAATCCTTGATTTCGGAGGAGATATTTCTCCCCATTGAAGCCTATTGGCTTATAGGTCAAAATTGCAATCCTATTCTCAAGGCTCTGTGTTCTAACTTGGTGGTCTCCAAAGTGGGTGTGCTTACCTTTAAGGGATACACAAAACAATCCCCTGGGTATGAAAGTAAGTATTAGCACTTCTTTCGCGCTAATTTTTGTAGGAAACACAAAGAAAAGAAAAAAAAGGACATTTTATTAATAGTTAATATATGGTTGACTACGTTATGTCCTCAGGCCATGTCACGTGGCCATATGTTGAATATAGGATACTAACAGTATTCTGAGGGCAGCTGTGGAGAACCCCACAACACAGAGAAAGCCACAGTGACACACACCCTCATTCATCTGGTCATTCTCAGAAGCCAAAGAATTTCAAAACCATAAATCAGACCATGCCTTTGTTTTCGACCATCCAATGGCTCTGTCATATTTAGAAGAAAATCCAAACCATGACCTTGACCTGTCAGACCCTATGACCCCTGGATACCTCTCTAATCTAACTTCTCACCTCTCTGAACTGCTCCCAACCCGGCCAGACATACTGGCCTCTCTTACATTCCCCAGTCTCGCCAAGCAAATGTTCATCTCAGGACCTTTTATTTGCTCTCTGCCCTGGAATGCCCTTCTCCACAGATGCTCACATGGTTTACTCCCTCACCTCATTCAGGTCTCCAGGCAACGTCAATTCCTCAGAGAGACCTTCCCTGACCATCCATCTAATAGAGACGGACGTGCTCATCTCTTTATTTTCTTACTCTGCTTTATTTTTACTTCAAAGCATTTATCACTACCTACTATTCTAATCTTGCTTTTCTGTCTCTCCCACTAGACTGTAAGCTCCATGCAGGACTTTGCTTTGTTCACCATTATGTCCCAGGTGCCTAGACTAATGCAGTTTACATAAAACAAACATTCAATAAATACTGAATAAATGAATGAGTCCTTTTTTAATCTCCATTTTTGTACATGTTTTTAACATATATTTGTACAATAATACAGGAATCTAATTCATATATAAAAAGTATACATGCTCAAACATATTTTTTACCCTAGGGGCCTAACATTAAAAAAAAAAAGCCTGGCAATTATAACTATAAATAACAACCAAACCAAACAAACCAACACACATTCCTTCAGTAGGTGTCACAGAGAGCCTGTCGCGCTCTCTCTGGAGATTTTAGTCATATCCATTTGCTAATCACAAGAAACGAAAACTCTCCACATGGGCTGAAGGCTATGAACCAACTCCTCTGTTCCCTGCGCTTATGCTCCCCTCTGGAATATAAAAGACCAGATTTCGCTAGAAATGAATAGTTTGTTTGTTCTGATACAAAGAAGGGCTGGTTACTTACGGGTCCTACACAATTGAGGACAAGTGTTGCCTGTTTAGCCATTTCATCAAGTGAGGCTGGATTACTGATATCACAAATTATTATTCCAACTTCAGATGATAGTGTAGGCCTTCCTGAAATAAGAAATATATTGTTTGAAGTGAAATCGGATCCAGTATTAGATCTTCCAGATCTTTTTATAGTAATCAGTGACGGAAAATTTACTAAGTATACTGAATGCTAACTTTTATCCAAAAAACAAAACTGTTTTTAACGAAGTAATAAAAAAAGGAAAAGGCTAGGAGGAAAATGGAGTTAATACTAAGGGTGACTAATAATACTGGTAACTTAAAAAAAAAATCTAATAAGCAATGTGTAAATGACAATCCTGTGTAAAAAATGACAATATTACCATCCTTTAGATACTGAGTAGATGATTGTCCTGACTTCCTCTGCCAAGAATTATAAAAATAGCTTCTCGTCATCTACTAAACAATTACACAATAAAATTATTGGGGTAGAAGGGAATTCTTAATATCAACAGAATGAGAACAAAAGAGGACTCGGGTGAAAAGCACAGTCTAGGTAAGAACGCTCAGGCTCACAATAAGGAAATAAACGCAATTAACTGAACCAATAGAGCAATGCTGGTTTTGACAGGTCAAGATGCATTTCCCACAATTACTTCATCTGTGGGCACTACAAAGGGTAGGTAACTAGGCTGTACCTGTCCTCTTACTGAGCAGGAAAAAGAAATGGAAGAATATATTTTAATCGTAAAATCATTTCTTTGGGGGACAGTAAAGAAAGACCAAAAACCTCTTTGGTCAAGATCCTGGATTTGGTCGTGGCAGCAGGTAGAGTTGTAGGAGAGTCCAGCCTACACGGTATCTTCTGTACATAACCACAAACCAAACAGATGCTATATTCCCACCATAAACCGGGTTCTGGGTGGGATTATAAGGAAGTGAGGCGGAAGGCTGAACAGGAGAATGATTCTAACAAGTTAAAAATAAATTGAAAACTAAAAGCCACAACAGCGTTACTAGCGAAACTCTTAAGCTTTCTCTCCCACCTCTGAAACACAAGGCGAGGGGAGATTACAATCTGGAGGAAACCAATGCTCTACTTTTCTATCGGACCAAATAGCGAGACATCTCCAACCCCACGAAGTACCCCTGATCTAGAATGGGGAGGGGGGGGGTGGCAAAACTAAAGTTCTTGACTATTTCGTCGGGGGGGGTGGTGTCTCCCCAAACTAAAGGAGAAATTCAAACAAGGAGAAATTATTTTTTTTTAATTTAGGGAGTATAGTACAAAGACATGACACTATCTGAAGCATTGCTCTCCTCCTCCTGTCCGCAAGCAAGGCATGGGGGAGCTCCAAGCGGGCACGCAGGGAGAAACGCTCATTTCGGGGGTCCTGAACCCCTCAGCCAAGAGAAGGGGCCTCAGGGGTGAGAGCAGCGGCGGCGGGGCCGAGCCCGGGGTCCTGGAGCCCAGTCCCACCCCGCCCCCTTTACCCAGCTTCAGGGCAGCCCTCTCCAGCACGCCCTGCAGCTTCTCCCGGGAACGGCCAGCCACGGCCCAGGGCAGGCGGCAGTTCCCCTCCGGGTCCACCTGCTCCCGGGCCACCTCCTCGGTCACAAACTGGCCGGTGAAGCCAGAAGCGCCGAACACCACCAGGTGGAACGGCCTCTGCGCGGTCGCCATGACGAGCCCACAGCGAGCAGAGGCCCGGCTGGGTCGGAGTCCACGGCGCCTGCGCCTCAGGCAGCGACCCCAGTACCGAGCGCATCAACCGCCTCTGTCGCGGCCGCCGCCGTCGCAGCCGCCGCCGGCGCGCCGAGCTCCCGACATCCCGCGCGCGCGGCCGCGCCAAGGCCACGCCCACGCCGCCCCACGCCAGGGTCGCCGCGGCGCCTCCTGCCCCAGCAGCTGCCTTGGCGGGGCTGCCGGCGGCTGTGGCGACGACCTGTTCTTGTTGCAGGAGTGGGATGCGCACAGCAGGCGTGCGCGAAAACCTCCCGGCGACCGGAGGGGACTGCCCCACGCCGAGACCTCTTTTAGTTTTCGCAGCACGTTGGCCAAGTGACCTTTGCGAAGCCGGGTGTAGGTGGAATTTATAGTCTAGTGCAGTAGACAATCGATAAAATATCATTACAGATATGCACAAGTTTGCAAAAATACTTATTTGAGAATGATCATTGCAGCATTGTTGGTACTGAAAACTAGAAACAACAGAAATGTCCATCAGAGGATTTATTAAATAAAGTATGGTATGTCAATTCAATAGAAACTACAGTGTGCAGTTAAAGAGAATGAGGTAGGTTTATGTACAGTGACATGGAAAATTGTCCAAGATATGTTGTATGTGAAAAGAGCAAATTTCCTAACAACATGAGAACCCAGTACTTTATTTAAGATGAAAAGGATGTGTGTATTATGCATACAAGATGTTGGGACAAATCTTAAATGACAAATCTTTAATAAAACAATAGCAGTTAAATACTTGGAAACATGCTTTACACATACATAGTCACTGGTGGATAAATGTTAGTTATTAATAGTAGTAACAGTGATTATTACTAGGAAGTGGGATTGTATAAATTATGTAAGAGAAATGGAACTTGTGTACTTTTTACCTTTCTATACTGTTTGAACTTTTTTTTAAACTTTATTGGGGAACTGTGTTTTTCCAGGATGCATCAGCTCTAAGTCAAGTTGTGGTCCTTCAGTCTTAGTTGTGGAGGGTACAAGCTCAGCTCCAAGTCCAGTCACCACTTTCAATCTTTTGCGGGTGGGGGGGCGGCGGGGGAGGAGGT